GTCCCCACCCCACCAAGACGATTTAATAAAAATATTCCGCAGCTTCGGTCATGTGCACGATGCATGTTCGGAGCAGTACACACGTAAATGTAATCGCGCACCATATTGTATACCGTAAGTATTCCGGTTGCGCACGGTCTAACGATTTTACGCAACGTGCGGAAAATAAAAACGTAATAAAACCAATGTTTAAGGGGGCGCGACAGTAACGAAATCTGACACGCCAAATGTACTTTCGACGAAGCGGAGTAGGCAATGCACAATTATGACCACGTGTGGCGTACGAATAGTCTGTAACACGGCACACACACACCGCCGATGGTCTTTGACAAAATAATGTACCTGGTAAAAAAAGGCCTGAAGTCTACTGTAACATACGTATTACCGGAACGGTTTTTTTTTCACTAAAAAAATCGGAATTTTTCAAACGATTTTCTATTACGAACATGTACACGGTCTCTTACGATATTACTGTTCGGGAAAAACGAAGTAAACAGTCCAATTGCTCGTTTGCTATCATTATAGTTTTTTTTCCAAGAGTATATTATTGTGCAGCGGCTACATTAAATTGCGTCGACAACATGTTGAATAAATCTCATGATCATGCGTCGGACTCAAGTGATATTTATACATAATTGTACTATTGATTAAAGATTTTAAAAGTGTTAAGTTTTTAAAACTGATAAGCTCTATTTTTTCGTAAAATGTTGTCAATATTGCCTGCACATAACCTCATATAACCCATTTCTCTTCTGCAGAATATTTATTCTTAGTTGTACAAAACAAATAATGAGAAATACATGAAATTATAATTTAATTATAACACAATTACTTGTAAAATACATACGTAGTAGGATCAAAAATTTCCCGGAATTTAATTTTTTTTTTTTTTTTATATACACACAATTTAAATTATAAATCTACTTAATCTCCTTTTAAAATATCGTCCCTCAACACAGACACACTTACACCAACGACTTAGTAACTGATGGAAACATCTTTGATATCCCTCAAGTGGAATGGCCCTGAGATTCGCTATCGCGTTAATTTTTATGTCTTCAATCGTCACGAAACATTCACCTTTGAGTCCAAGTTTTAGGTTTAGAAACAGCCAGAAGTCACATGGAGTAATATCTGGTGAATACGGGGTTTGTGGAATTGTAGAAATTTTTTTATACGTTAAAAATTATCGGAACTACAAAAGACGAGTAGTACGGTGCATTGTCTTGATGCAAAAACAAACCATTTGACATTTTGTGAAAATGTGTAATCAGTAATAATCAGTTTCATATGGACACGATTACGGCTCACATGAGACTAATATAATTTTAACGAATAAACCTTCGATAGCATAATAATGTCTACTATTAATTCCAATAATCAGATATTTGATAATAGTTTTTTTTTTCTATAAATAAATTCCGGGAACTTTTTACATTCGTAATTTCACTTAAAATCTAAAATTGTAACAATATATAATATTGTTTCCGAGATTTTTTCAAAGAATATTCTTTTGTATCGAAAAAATTACTGATAAAATCGAAAATTACTTCTTTCGTATTTACCGTGTGTGCAGTAATTTTACGGGTGGAAAAATTGAGGAAGGAAAAAAACCCATTACTATACCAATTCGTATTGCTCGCTTCGCCTTAATAGGCGACAAAATCAACGTCTTTAGACTTTTAACTATGCAAAAACATCTTACCTCGTTCATGTTTGTTTTGCGGAGTATATTCTAAATGCGTCGACGACGAAATATGCAGTTACTATGCGAGACCTACAGAAAACGGACGTTGTATATATACATCGATATTCGTCCCGATAAGGGACCGTTTTTGTTTTATTACTTCGAGTAACGGATCGTTCGTGCGCACGGTAATTATCGGTTGATAATATATGCTATGCTATTGAAGTCGTTTTAGCACGGGGTGGCTTTTCGCTCGTTACCGTTGTCGCCTTATCGCGTCGATTTGGCGCACGGGCTCAAAGCGATATCTCGGCCTGGCGCGTGCCGTTAACGTATTATAATGTACAATCGTGTGCATATCAATATACTAATCTCACAAACGGTTTGCCATGAACGGGTGAACCGTGCGCGAAAAACACGTGTTACGCTTCTCACGCACAAATCGACGATGAAACTAATTCCCCGTCCAAGGCCGTCTCCGATAATTAGAAAAAAGGAAAAATATGTCTTCCTTCCATCAAGAGTGTCCACGGAAATGTTCGTAAAAAAAGGAGGAATTTCAAGCTTAGCCCTGTTTTTTCCGTGCTCAAAAACCGAGCGAGGTCTGTTTAAAGCGTAGCACTCTTAGGCTTTAAATAAAATTTTAAATTTGGTGTCGTCATAAAATTTTTGACATTTCTGTCCCAGTGATTGATAATGTACTTAGTTTTATCCACTATTATACGTATATTTCTCTACGCTAAATACACTTTTTAAACATAGATATATTTAACACATTAACTAAAATACGTATTTTAAACTAAAATTATGGATTACAAATCCGAAAGCAGGAAAATATCCACTTCCCACCTCTCTCATCACCTCTTCAACGGGTGTATACACGCAATGCGTGCCACACCGTTCGCAGTCCAAACCCACGTTTCAACGTTGCCGCCACTGACACAGTGTTATCCTGGTACCTGATATATACTATAACACGAGATTATCTAACTATTTATAATACTTTGAAGGCGGGGGCAGTTGTTGCACCCACACGTTGCTGAAGGCAATCGAGCGTATGATCGTCACTATTGCATGCCACTGCGGGTTGTCATATCGTATCACTATATTGTTTTTAGGTCCCGGTCACTGAGAATTAACCGGAACTGCAGTCCCGCGGATTTCTCATGATTTGAGGGGTTCACCGTGTTATTGTACAGTTGCATATACGTTGCTCGCTGATAAAAACGATAAGCGCGATGCCATTGACCAACAAGTCTTATTTCTTAATTTTCTTAGAGGTTTTCTATAGAATTGACGTGACCGACCACTAGTTTTTAAGCCAACATATATCCATAATATATTTATTTCTGTCATTTTTACCATATTCGAGTCTTGTTCAGAACACATGTCTTCTGAAAACTCGCCGATCATCATCGTTTTTCGAAATAACAATACTCCGAACTGTTCTAAGCTGTTGTTGGTGAAGTGCGCTCGTAATATCATGAGATTCGATCAATGTCGGTAAACAAATTTTATTTACATTTGAATAATATTGTATTTGCACCTTTTTACGCAGGTTATGAGTGTGATTCGTTTGAAGGGAGCTTTCCTTCGAACACACCAATCCGGACGGTAAACACTCAATTCGGATTATTTCAATACGGTCCTCGTCTACAAATAATAGTTACCGAATTATATAATCTAACGCGGGATGCCTCGTTGCCGAAGCGCAGTGTCAGAACGTCTTTCAGAATGAATGCAAACTATTGTTGCTCCCATACCTGTTCGACGATACCACAAGTGTGTAAGTATATTTTTTAACGGACGAAACACGTCCAGAAAGCATAATTATATAGTAAGTACATTACATTATACTGGAGTAGTTGTACATACTAGTGTAAAAGTTAACAGGAACCCAGTTGGGTTAAATTGAACGTTTCGATGCGGTAAAAAATGTAAATAAGAAATAACAATTTTCAACTTTTAAAGAATTGAAACGGATTTGAAATAACATTTATATATATTGTATATTGTATATGTTTCTTTTATCATAATATTACGTAATTTTTCTTTATAATTTATATATTTGTCAGACTTTAATCTGTGCTAGAATATGTATTTATATACTTTAGGAGTTTAAGAAGAGCATTTGGTAGGATTCTGAAAAATGTTCAATAACGTCGTCGGAAAAATGGTGCATAAAACATACCGGTTCCGTTATATCAAAATGATTGCATAAATACTGACATTTAGCAACAACCAGTCGGTCGTGAATCGTTTGAAAGTCGATAGAAAAGCGCGTATGCTACAGTACCACAGTAATATATTTTTTAGATTTAACTCGATACACACTGAACAACTATTCATTTCATTTAGCACGCGAGTGGACGAGAGACGTGTTCAGCGATTTGAATGGCGTGTCCGGCGGATTAAACGAACACTGAACGTTACCGGTCATTCAGTTCACTGACCACTCGAGTGGAGTTCAATACCAGACGTGAGGAAACCATGTTGTAATAAACGTACATAAATCTACCGTATAATTCTCATGTTATTGTCGGACAGTGTAGATGGAAAAAAATTGAATAGTCATTCCCGAAAAATTGTTAAAAAAAAAAATAATAATAATAATAAGAAAATAATAAAAACGAGATGCACAGCTGTACACAATATTATTATGTATATTCTAAATTTCTGGTCGGGTTATTTTACGTAGGTGCGACTGGCAGTTAAGGTATGTACGTTAGTTACTTTTCTCCGCACACATGCATCGTACGTGTACCGTACCTGTATGTTATACATTAAATTATGTGTGAATGTACCTACATGTATATTTGTACGTACATAGAGAAAGAGAGAATATACAACCAGGATAGTCCCTGAGCAGCCTCTTGCGTCGAGATGGCATATTGAAAAACGTCAAATTTTCTTCGTACGCTAATCTTCGTGTACTTATGCAACAGTCGAGAGATGGAATTCAAACGGTTCGCCGATATCGTCTGTGCTGGCAATGGCGTTAGAAGTTTTGCTAGAACTCTAGGCAAACTTTGAATAATCCTCTCTTTTTCCTAGCGAGAGTAATACGTTTGAAGTACGATTCCGCGCCCGTGCAGGTGAACTACACTTTGGCATAGTTTACCGCACTCCAGTTATACATGTGTACACGAGAATTCACAGCGAGATTGCACGAATTCCACGTTACGGGGTTGTACGCCCCTTACGGTTAATGGGGGTACGGGAGACGGGTATAAGTGAGTAGGAAGGGTAAGTATATAACGATATGCAGTATATATATATATATATCATTCGAACAGCACCGCACGGCACTTACCCCTTCGGAGAAGTGTTCCTTGGGCGTCCTGCAGTTCATGACGTCGTAGTGGTAGTCGTCCATGGTGTTTCGGGACGAACGAATCACGCGGCCAGGTAACGATAGCACAGCAGACGTGGACGAACGGGGAGTAACAAAACGATATTCGGGAGTTTCGTGGTTGTGGTGGTCCGGTAATAGGAGAGCGGGCGGGAACGCGATCGATCGGTGGAACAACGATTTCTTCTAAGTGCCGACGTTGGGGGGGGAGGGGGAAGGTGGTAAGGGATATGTTCAACGAATAGTGAACGACGAGGTGAAGGAAAAACACGGGAAGACTTTAACGGGAAAAAAAACCGACCGACCGATGAGACCGTACGCACACGCGTGGCGCGAGGAGTCGACTGTGCGACGATATCGTTGTTGTTGCGGCGACGAGACGAGGACGAAGACGACCCGCGCGCGAACCAGTTGCACAACGCGACCACCGTCCCACGACGACCGGCCGACTGCGTTACGTGCCGAACCGATACATGCGCGCGCGCCGTGTGCACCTATGCGCGCGCGCGCGCACACCGGTTTGTCTGGTTCGAGCGAACGGCTGCCGCGACGCGGACCGCGGACATCGTAACAGCACCGTGTGCGAATCGGTTGTCGCGACGTCGCAAGGGACCGGCTCAGTGCCATATTTCCCGGTAAATACTATGGGCTAATGCTTAGGGTGGTTAATCATTTTTAATATTACATTTTTTTATTATATGTACGCATAAATAGTAGTATATGTGATTATATCTAACTAAAATAAATGTAACTAATTATAAAATTTTTTATTTTATTAAAGCCGATGGGTACTGGTCACTAATTATTTAATTTTGAATATGATTTAAAAATAAACTGTTCAAGCGTTTTTTTACTACCATGTTTTTTATCATTATATTTTATATCATATTTTTATAATCAAGTATTTCGCATGAACGTACGTATGCATTTTTATAACAGTTGTATATTTTTGTTTTAAGCCATTGACATTCTAATAAAGGAAACAATTATAATTGCATGCTTTAATAACATTTTTTAGACCAGAAAAATATTTATATTAAAAGGCGGCAATTTGTTTAGTGATAAAAGCGGCACAATGGTTAAATCTGGTACTGGACCGACTGATTGTTCGGTAGCCCCTCCGCACATGTCTGGCGTTTTTTGCGACGAAGGTCCGAAAAAAAAAATGATAACAGTAAGACACGTGTACGCCGAGCAAGGCGATGTAAGGCGTCCACAAATTGGAAATGTCTTCGCGTCATGAATCCTTAACATCGTGTTTTTTATCCTTCCGATCTAATACGTTACTTTTTTTGGTTTCTTTTTTTAATTCCTTCGTAAATATACATTTTTTTTTTCGATAAATACTCGATCCGAATCAGTTTCAAAGTAAATTACGAATCGATGCTCGAAGTATAATCATCAACGGTAGTATTTTGATTGAAGTATTGACAGTTTAAATAAAAGTTCAAGGAAAATTGTTGGGCCCGACATTACATATGCATACGCAATATTCAAATTCAAATGCATTACTCGTTACACCAGATCGGTGTAATAACCGTTTTGGTTAAAGATAATTTAAACTGTATCATTTACTGGCTATACCGCGGTAATCGTCATTTTTAAAGTCACGATCTGTTCTTATAAAGCGCCAAAATATTACACCTTTCCTTGAAGTGCAGTCGACAAAACCATATAGATTATATTTTAAAGTCTGGGCGGAGTGTATAACATTTTACAATAATGATATTTTATTAGTTTTTCTTCAAAACCAAAGTAGTAAATCTGTATTAAAAGTCTCGCTTGTAGCGTTTGCTTTTGGATAGAAAATTGAGCGTGTGGACATGTGTACCTCAAGGGATTTCAAAAATTTCGCAGTAGTCTTTCTAAGTGTACAAAAAAAAAATAAAAATAAAAAACTTAGAAATAGTATGAAGTTTCGTCTGAAATGAAAATAATTTAATGGTTTCGACATCTTACGCTAGCTTAACCGAAAGCCATTTTAGTAAATGTTGACAGGTCAGTCACTACTTAACTACTAAAAACCGTGGTATATTATTCTCATGAGCATTGGTTAAATCATTATTAAGTATATTTCCTTTATAAAATAAAATGTTACTCTTCAAATTGGAAATTATAATATAACAGAGCCAATAATCGAGGACCATAATAATTGAAGATGCAACATTGTCATCGGTTTGATATCAAACACAGTGTGAAAAAATGTTAGATTTAATGCGACCACCGGTCCCCGTGTAGTTGTCTGATTATGTCATCTGGTTCTTAACTAGGACGGTACGGGAAGTGCAGTTGACCCATGTCTCCTCAGGGAGAATACAGTGTGATTCACATAATAATTTGTACGTTGGCAAACATATCAGATGAGATCATACTTACTGTACCCTAAATTGACAAAAACACAAAAAGACCTTGGGACCATGTCAACCGAACCAAATAAGAATAAAGTTTGAGAAAGAGTAACATGATAAATTTCAATTAAGATGCACAATATAATATTAGGGCACACCGGGTGGCATCATTGATTCGCAAGACGATTGTATTTGGTTATTTAGAACATTACATAGTTAGTTAATTAGTTACATAGCAGTACAACTATCGATCAACTTGAGGTGACTTGACTTTTTCGTATAGTATTTATCTACCGAAATATAACGATTTAGTTGCTTCAATAATATTGTACCGTTCGTTTCCCGATTCGAAAAGGCGCTAATTCTTCACGCCGCATTGTTTGTGTCGTTGAATGCTGGTGAACTCGCCGTCAACGTACTATCAAAGTTCTGCGCTGAACTTACGGATTTTTTTGATTATTAAACATTTTTAGCAATAAAGCCTGACACATTTTTAATACAATTACTTTTGTGTCTGTAACTGATTGGTATACTCGTAATTACACGACAATATTATTAATATGATGACATCTTAGTGTTCAAGTACTTCAGCGGTCGACGTCAATATAAAAAAAAAAAAACTCCTATAACATACAATACATGTCCACTCGTTTCGATATTATTCGAGTTGTCGCGAACAAGACGCATAATAATATTTCAACGGCTACGTGCGAAAAACATTTAATTACAATCGACGCGCGTTGCATACGTTGCGCGTACGCTCGCGTCGACTTTATCCGTACTGCACGAATAATAGATAATATACAACCAGTGTGGTATTATTGTTTTTAGTCTCATACCGTGTATTATTCCGAAGCGCAGTGAATTCCGCGCCTGGTGAAATTATTATAATCCCATAACCATATTAGTATAATAGCACTGTATCGGCTACGATTTTAATATACATTGTTCCGTTACTCAGTGTACCTTGGCTACTTAAGCGCATTACGTTGCACACGTCGTACGAGCGATTTTCTGACCGCAATATAAAAGCCGACCGTTTACCATGATAGGTTCTATGTATTTTCTTTCTTCAGCCTTTCCCTTCTGCATCGTAAATCTACATTTTTCAAACGTTTTCTAACGGAAATCGTCCGGTACTGTCCAATTTCAAAATCAATACGTTTTATTTCTGTCTATTCTGATCTGGTTGTTTTCCATAAAACATTTTTTTAAATTTGAACTTTTACCGAGTGAAAAAAATTTCTTGTGCTAATGTTTGACGCAAAGAAACTGACAAAATGTAAAAAAATTTTGGCTCTACGTTTTTTTTTTCTTTATGAACTTTACTTGGCCAACAATCGATTGACTCGGCTTTGTTATAAAATATATTATTCAACGTACGGTACGTACGGCTTTTCAACGGAATGATAAAATCAAGCAAATATAAAAATACCATCTGCTCAAAAATCGATTTTCAAATAGATGCGCCGCACTTATAAGTATACCATTTGCGTACGTACATTTTTTTTCAAACATGTAAAATGTGTGTTTAACCATACAGAATATGATCTGCTACTTTTAAAGAGATGGTTTACAGTAAAATAATATTGTTTTTAATAATCACTAATAAACGTGTTTAAATTAGAGGTAATACTAAATATTTTTTTATTTTTAATATCAATACTTATAAGGAATTTATCGTTTAGTACGCGGAAGTTCTTGTAATTTTTAATTAATTTTTACGGCAAACTGAAGTCATTGTTTTACTGTTGTCACACGTCATAAAACACTAAATTACTGTTGAAGTGGACAATAAAATAATAATACATAATATTATTACTATCCCGTCTGGTTCTAATGGGCTGTAAACGGACATCGTGATCTCGACCTATATAAAATATGGCAGTAAACACCCGAATGCGCTGTCAAAATTGAAATCTTTCACGGATCCTGAGTAATTTTCCATTTCAGATCCATTCAAAACGATGGACACGATATTTTAATATTATACGAAGGACTAAATCAAAATTTATATCCAAGCAAACCTTTCTGATATATTATTGAGGATCCGTTTTAAACGATTCAGAAATATTTACACTGGTGTATGATTGACTTAAAACGAAGTTCTTAGTTTTTTTTTTTTATTAAGCATTGATATTTTGGGGCTATCACTTCCTAAAAACCCGTTAATCTTCTCGTGTATACTATTACGTCACATGAAACACGCTTTTTTTTTTGTTATCAGCGCAAACAACAAAATGTACATAATGTTCGCATTAACGTGCGACACGTCACTGCGATAATGTTATTACAAGTATAGGCAGACCTATACTTGGACGGGTGACCAGCAACGAGCCGATTACAAATTAACGTCATTGCACACGTTGTAGACTCGCCGTCTCGCGCCGTCCTAACGATGTCACACGCTGATCACGCTAAGGTTCATCAAGGTTCATCGGTCGCGACCGACGAGAGAAAAATGAAATTCGAAAACTTCTTCGAACGCATTATTATAAATACGATTTGATGCCAAGTAGTTGTGATTGTGATTTACGATGTGGATGTCAGCGTTGATGAATGACATAATTTTACCGTAAATCATAGTTTTCCTTATTTTTCGACCCGTTGCTGTAAACGGCACGCTTGCATCCTTTGTATACGGCTATAATACGGTGGTTTTCAACCTTTGTGTACATGCGCTAGAGACGTTTACCCGAATTATAAGTATTAATAAATATAGTGTTAAATGTGGACAGCCCCGCACCTTTGAATTTTTCAAGTAGCATAACAGAACACGAGCAATATGGTCCGGTATCTAGAGTGAAGTAATCGTTATTGACGAGAAAAATGCTACTGATGACTGATAAGGCACGTATTATTTATAGTTTCGAAAGACCGAAATGCTGATATTATGCTTGTTGTTTTCCTAGGAAAATGATTTACGATTAATGTTAATGAAATTTTTGCTTTTCAACCATTTAATAATATTTAGCATGAAATTAATACATTTCTAGGGTCGGCGTTAGGGGTAGGCAAAACGGAGCATTTGTCCAGGGCCTTGTGCCTTCGAGGACCTCTCGTTTAAAATTTTCATAGAAAA